TTTTTATGTGGTGATTTTAATAGGCCAAAAATATCATGGGTCATTATGGGTCGTTTTGAAGGTGTAAACTCAAATGAAAGTCTTATTTTAAGTGATTGCATGTCTTTTTGTAATTTAGTACAATTGAATCAGATACCAAATAAATTCGGAAACTTTTTAGATTTAATCTCGGATTTAATTTTCAGCAATAGGTCGGATATAAGCATTTTTTCATGTGAAAATCCTTTATTAAAGTTGAATAAACCACATCCTGCTTAGTGCCGTATTTCCCTATACGCAAATTACGCACAGGCGCAAGGTGGCAAATCTGGGGAGGCGGCTAAATTTCAAAAAATAATCAGGAAAAGAAAGCCGAATATCCAACGCAAAACGCTGTTCTGTTTCGCGTTAGATCTTTATTTAATTTTTGATAAATTCGAACAATATTATAACAAATTACAAAGCGCAAAGCACATAAACAGATAGGTACCTAACAAAAAAATCATCAGGCCTGTAAACGCCGGTTTTAAAAATAAAAAGTACCTATAAAAAAAATGATTGAACAAAAAAACACACACAGATCATAATAATGTGTACCAAGTGTAATAAAATGTAGGTAGTACAGAATTTTTTTTTTGAAGGCTCAAAATAAACGTTTTGGGCGTGGCACGAGGGATGGTTTTCCGACTCCGGCGGCTCCTTCGGCGGGCTTCATTTAATCCTAATTTCCCTTATAAGCTTGCCCTCTCCGCCCCGAAAGGCTGGCTATGCATACGCTAGTGTTCGTGTCCTGTATCTTCTTGGTCCCCCAGTTTTTTGAGGCACGCGCTGCCCCTGCCAACATGAGGGCGGCCTTTTCGAATAGGCGTAGGGCGGAAAATTGGTAAATCCGGCACTGAAATTTAATAGCTTTTTCACAGATGATAATTATATACCTGATGCTATTAGCATATCAGCAACAAGCAAATCCGGAATTTCCAAAATGGATGGATGAGAACTTGAAAAACCGAATTTTAATTAAAAAAACAGCCCACACAACCTATAGATCAACAACGTTGTTGCTTAGTGACTATCAAAAACTTCTCGATTTACGGACTCAGTGTCGAAAGTATGCCCCAGTCAGTCATCAAAATTACATTATTCACATAGAAGATTAAATACAAGCCAGGGATGATTTTTGGAATTATATAAACTCTAAAAAAAAACACTAAAGGCATTCCCTGCAATATGGTGCTAGGTGACCATATGGCTGATACACCTCAGGCTATTGCTGAGCTATTTAGGTAGCAATTTTCTTCAGTTTATACTGCTTATGATCATTAAAACTTAAATTTGTCATATGACCTAACAATCAACTTAAGTAGCATAAAAATTGATGTAATCGATGTTTATAACAAAATTTCAAAAACCTAAATTTGGATGTGGACCAGATAGTATTCCAGTTTATTTAATAAAAAAGTGTATCTGCTGTCTGTCTTATATCTTAACTAAAAACTTTAATCCGTCACTCTAGCCGTTTTTCCAAATAGGTATGTTGAAAATCAGTCATATAACCCCCATTTTCAAAAGCGGAGATACAAGTGACATTCGAAATTATAGGGCAATATCAAAAAATATCACTATTTTCAAAAAAATTTGAAGCAATTGTCACTGATAAAATAACAATTTTTGTTGATATATTTATATCGGAGCAAGTTTAATTAGAGGAAAGTCTACAGCATCAAACCTGTTGGTCTTCGAACAGGCTCTGTTGGGTGCCTTGGAGGAGGTGTATCAGGTAGATGTTATTTAAACCGAGTTCTCTAAGGCATTCGATAGAGTTGTTCATGATATTTTTTTCTCACTTACCCAAACTAACTGCTGTAGGCTTCCACCCAACTAGCATTTTGGTGCAATAGACTACCACTCAAGAAAAAGTTACCTAAATTAGTCAACTTTTAGTAATTATTTCCTTAAATAATGTTATTAAAGTAAAATATGTCTTCAAGTGTTGAGCTGGAATTCCAAAACTAGTAATGGTATACCTGATTATAGTCCTAGAAGACATTTGACTAAGAAGTTGAAGCTATTGGTTCAAAACTACTAAATATTCACCTTCTAAAAGCTCTTAAAGAATTCAGGTTTTCAAACCCAATTTAAGGGGTCATAACTTACTCAATATCTACCTAAAATAGGTATTCAAAGTTAGGTTTTTTTTTTTGTCATCCTAGCAAGTAAAAATTATCCCATTTATTACCAAGAAAAAATCCTTCCAAGTTATTTAGGTATATTGGTAAAAAATTGGTCAAAGTGTCTGCTAAATAGCCTTATTACAGACCTTGAGGTTAAAAGGATTTTTTTGGTAAATATTTGGCCTAATTTCAACTTTGTAACTGGACTTTAAAGAAAATAGTTCTAGTTCCAGAGACCTATAGGTATAAAAGTCTTAATTAAGGTCAAAAATTACTTGCAAAAATGTTCTCAAAGTTAATGCTCCCAAAAAAAGCTTTCAATGACAAATATTTGTCCCACTGCTATGTTTTCTTCTAAATTAGACTTTCTTGTGTTATAACCTATAACCTAAATAATATCTTTGCTGTGGTTGCGTTTCCTAAGTGTGTTCGTTCGCCCTTGTTAGTTTCAAGAACATGTCTAAAAAGTTGAAAACCAGAAGGACCAAGGCTTAAAGGAACACGTCACAGTACTATAGAGAAGTTAAAAAGAATTCTGCCACTCAAAGACCTATATCACCGAAATAGATTGTATCACCTCATACATTTCCAAATGTTCATTTAACAAAAAGTCAACAATTTCAACAAGTAGTGTTGATGATATTAGTGGTAATCAGAATGTTGATGCTGATTACATAAAATTGGCCTACGAAAATGAGGTTTAATGAGATTCAGCAGGGGCGCTTTCATTTATACATTATCGGTTATCGGACCTAGTTCCGACCTTTATTTAAATTTACCTAAAAGTAATTTTTAGGTCTTAAAATGGGTAAATTTAACCACAAAGTTAAAAATGCACGTTTATTCGGGCCTGCATTCTGGAAAATATATGCTATTGGTTAATAATTATGGGAAAAAGTCCCTATAGGTCGAAATTGTAAAAGGAGCCATATTAATTCATCCACTATTATCAAAATTCAACCAAAAATATTCTATATGTTTGAAATATATCATTTTAGCCCTTCCAAAAACAAGTAAATCAAATAAAAACACATTTCAGGGTATATGGTTAACTACTTACTTCTAAAAACAAAGCAAATTTATTTTGAGGTTATGTGAGTATCAGAATATCAACAAAAATAATTAATAAAATTCCTCGAAAACGTTTATTTCAAGGGCGCCTTAATTTTGTGGGAATATTTTGTCCACATTTCACGAAAAAGATCGCTCCGCATAGAATTTTTGTTTCACAGTGCTGGGTATACCTACTAACTACAATTAATTCCATTGAATCATTACTATACGGTATACGGAAGCCATTACTTCAACAAGTTTAACTAAAGGCAAGATTTAAACCTCAAACACCAGCAGTCATCATATTTATAACCAATAGGTTTCTATTATTTTGAAAAGAAAAAGACGGAGAGCGTGTTTTGGTGATTGTTGTTAGATTTAGGTCAGATTTATGTCATACCATAGGAATAAATGTCTGCGGATTTACCACAAAATACCCTAAAGAGTACTATATTTTCTTTTTGGTATTTTTGACCAATTGGGTATAAATACCTTATCAACCTAATATCGACTTCTAAATTACTTCAGTTCTATTCCCCACTTTGGGAAAAAGGAAAACAAATAGAAGTAAATAATCCCTATTTGAAATTGGTCATGCAAAATTTTCGACCAGTTCAGTGGTCAAATGGAAGTAATTTTAACCTTGATTGTTTGTTGGGCATGGAGTTTCACCTTAATGGCTCTTGGATCATTTGACAGACAGAAGGTTAAAATTGAAAATTATCTTTCATCAGAAATTAATGTTACCTCTGGTGTTCCCCAAGGTGGACTTATTACCGCTTCTTTTTAATATTTTTCTGAATGATGTGAATAGGATATTCAAATGTTGTAACTTTTTAAATTTTGCTAACGATAACAAAGTTTTTCGAATTGTTAAGGAACTAGATTAGACACAACCAAGTAGGAGGAATCTTGCATCAGGCTATCTGTAACAAAGAAAAACTAATAACAACACTGTACCCTATTATAAATACTTACCGACTCCAATCCTGGAAAACACCCAGGTCAAGGTGTACTGGGACATTGATAATTGATATCATTACAGATCGAGAAATTAGACATAAGAAACCAGACATACTTATACCTACTTTACAAACAACGGAAACTGGCATTTATAGTAGATATCATAATACGTCTAGAAGTAAATATTCGGAAAGCTCGAAATGACAAAATTACGAAATATCAAGAATTATCACAAGAAATAAAAGACATCTACGAACTACAAGAAGTAAAGATAATCCCGGTAGTCATTCCGGCCTGTGGAATAGTAGAGAAACAACTTTATACCTGCTTGAAAATGCTTGGCATCGAAAATGCAAACCCGATCATTGCGGAGATGCAAAAGTCAATCATACTTTCAACGTGTAATACAATTCGTAGGGTTTAAGGCTCGTTGATAGTCGTTGGCTCAAAAGCCCCGACTACTGACTTACCACCAACATTCATCATGTTGTGAAAAAAAAAAAAATAATAATAATAACCTCCTACCAGTCCCTCAACTCGGCTCCAAATGCAGAGGAACGAGAGGGCCCCTACAACCGACCGTATCGGATGAGAAGTCACAGGCAAGGTGGAGGGGCGCAAACGGATGGATTGCCCGATGACGACCGCAACGAACAAGGATGCTTTGAGTGGACAGATGATCTGAGGGATGATCTGCTGGAATGCTATGAGAGCAGTAGGCAACTTTGAAGGGGATATATGGCTCGTATGCGTGAGCTGTGGAATGGTATGCATCCTCAGCATGACATATTCACTGCTCAGGGCCTGCGAGACTATGTATCTTACCTTCGGCGAATGAGATATGTTAGAGGACCTCAACAACCGGCAGTACCTGAGGAAAAGGAGTCGCAGATACATATGGCTGAAGAGGTGCTTCCCGTAGCTCCAGAAGAGAGAATCCGGGACCGTAGGGCACTGCACAAGACTAAGCGCCCGAAATCACAAGACCTAGCTAGAGCGAACGAAGAGCTGTTAAATGCTCTTAGAGAAGAAGCTGACATCTGGCGCATTAATTGTGCTGTCTACGAGACAGCTTGCTCCTTGTCGCCCAGGGTGCCCAACAGGGACCCCTGCGTTGACATGGCGCAACGCCGAGTGAAAAAAATGGAAGCAAAAATCCTCTCAGCAAGGCAGCAAGCAGTAGTGCTGCGAAAGGATATATTAGTGACTGCCAAACAAAATCTAATTCGGCGGGCGAAGGGGCTTTTGGAAAACAAATTGTTTTTTGAAAACCCCAGTCGCCTATTTCAAGCGCCGCCGAGGATTATTGACAATCCTCCAACCGCTGAGAGGGCGGAAAACTTCTGGAGGGGTGTGTACGAGGTAACTCGTCCACTCAACGCAGACACACCAGCCCTGGCACAGTTCGAATCCTTCGTGAGGGGGTTTCCACAACCTGAGCAACTGTGCCCACCAATAACTGTGGAGGAAGTTCGAGGTGCTCTTATGTGTGCTAAGAACTTTGCTGCTCCTGGATTTTTACGCGACTCTTGTACAAGCGGATACTCCAAGCCATGGGTCCAGTGTTTAGTGGAGTATACGAGCCGCGAGGGTCAAAGAAGGGCGTAGCAGGCTGCAAGGAGAACTTACTAATAGACCGATGTGTCACACAGGACTCCTTCCAGTACAAGCGAAACCTTTTGATGGCCTGGAAAGATTACCGCAAGGCCTTCAATACAACTTTTCAATCAAATCAAATCAAATCAAATCATGGCATCATTCCGCCGGGGAGTGCTTCAGGGAGATTCCCTTAGCCCACTCCTCTTTTGTGTCTCGCTACTTCCGCTTGTTACAAATTAAATAGAAATTTGTATACTTTGAGAAAAAGATAACCTAGGGTCGTGAATTCAAAGAAAAATTAAGATAACGTGTAGCCCCTTTGTGTGCAAATGAAACCACTCAAAATCCAACAAACAATAATTTTATTTTGTGTACAATGTTATGTAGAATGTCAGTGCTAACAGCTTGGTTTTTCTTGGTGAATCTGATACCAAGTACCTGCTTTCCAATCCGGAGCTCTTCAATGGGTGTTGGGGTTTTACTTTCGTGAACTGGAGATCTTCGTGTCGTTTCCTGTATCCAGGAAGAGGATAGATTGCTGAGGTGACGTCACTCCAGCTGATCCAGACTCCAAACAGTGATCTTTAGGTAGAGTAGGTACCCAGAAAAGAATAAGGCAGTATCAGGTTCACCAATATTTGGAATATTAAATCCCTGAATTTTGTCGAAAGAGTGAGCGTCTTGCAGAGAAAATTTAAATTGAAATTTAATATAAAATGATTGTTGTACAGACACTCACTTCCAACAGAATCAGGTATGAACAGTTATTGTAAGTTGAGAAAAAAAAAATATATATATTTTAATATAAAAAAAATAATTAAATAATGGCAAGATAATAAAAAAATTAGAATAATAACAGGAATAAATTATAATGATTATAATGCTCGTTATAATTGAGCAGAATGCTGCTTTCTTGATAACAGCTCTGGCCGGCAAAAATATGAGTAAAAATAAGGTAAGTAAAAAATTAAGAAATATCTCTGGATTCTCCCCCGAATAGACAAAATCTTCCTCTCGAACTAAGTTAGCTACCACAGATACTAGATAAACCTAGGGTTGAAATTAATCAAATCCAGAATGTGTCAAAATTCTTGAGATGTTTTAATTAAAACTTTTTAACTGAATTTTTGACTGGATTTCTATTAAAAAATTACACCCTTTTGTTGAGGTAACAATTTAGGGAGTCAAACACAAAATGGCTGTTCAGGCCTCTGCCTGGATTCAATAAAGAATTAATGGGGATGGACTCACAAATTTGGTTCTCACCGACTCTATTTAGAGCAAATGGTCCAATTTTCCCACACTAAAAATTGATTCTGAAAGCCAGAGCAGCAGTACCTATCTAAAATCCAAAAATCTGTCTTGACTTACCTCGTGTAGGGTTGCCAGATACTTGAGTTTTGAAAATAGGAGAGGCTGTATAAAATTATATGAGATTGGATAATAATATATGAGAATATTTTATGTGCTGCAAAATACCCAAATCCGAAAAAGCTCACATCTTGACAATTGTCAATTAGCTATGATTTTTATAGATTTTGGAATGTATTCCTGGACATTCTTTTACGTAGTTGAATATTCTTCCTGATCCGTCAGCCTCATTTCTTGTAACAAGTTTTGGACAACAACTTGAATTTTTTGATGTTTAAACAAATCCCTGACCCAAAATTGTTATGTTTTTTTTTCTGTTCTTACTTCCATTTTTATTTATTATCTACAAAAGCGAAAAAGTCGGAAAAAAGTTGAAAATATTCGGATAAAAAGTGGCGGGAATTTTTTCAGCCAATTAGGCAATCCAACGACCTTTCCAAATGGCGCCTGGTTGGCAAACAATAAACAAAAAACATATATTTTTTTTTTTTGTTGGGTTTATCAATATTGTTAGTCGATTTTTATCTGACACTTTCCGTATGAGAAGCAGGCCTGTAGCCAGGTTTCGATTCCAGAGGGGGCAACCAAGCATTTAGAGGGGGCAAACTTATTTTTATTTTCTACATCAATTAGAATCACGACCAGGTGCAAAAACTTTATTTTCAAAAGTACATAATAACTGACATGAAAATATAAAACCTTAACAAAACACAAAGAAATAATAAAAATACATAGGGCGCACTTGAAGGGGCATTAATTATATTGAAATCTGTCAGTTCTATGTGAATTTTTCAAAATTCGTCTGCAAAGAGAAAGAACAACTCACATCAGAATTGGCTCAAAACTGGCATAACTACAATACAAATATTTTAGTTTTTCGATAATTTGCGTTTTTCTCGAGATGGAAAATGTATATCTGGGCTAAGGACTCTGTAACGAATAGAGATTTTTTCTCTATCTCTATTGAGGTCCCCTCTCTATTGATTACCAAGAGAGAGAAGAAGATAGCAAGTGCCATAGCGATATAGGGATAACGATCTCTATCCATTACAGAGTCCCAGCCCAGGTCTGGAACTCTGTAACGGATAAAGATCGTTATCCCTATCGCTATGGCACTTGCTGTCTTCTTCGCTTCTGTCTAAATCAATAGAGAGGAGACGTCAATAGAGATAGAGAAAATATCTCTATTTATTACAAAGTCCCAGCCCTGGATGCCTTGCCTAGAGTCGTTATGGATTATTTCTAAAATCTCGCAAAACATCGAAAAACCGAAATATTCGGATTGTAGATAATCGATCAAAGAATGTTTATGCCAATTTTGAGCCAATTCTGTTGTGAGTTTTTTTTTTTTTTAATTTTTGCAGACGAATTTTAAACAATCAACTAATCAGAGCACAGAACTGACAAATTTCAAATGTCATTAATACCACCCAACTAAGGTAGAATATGAACTAAACTGTGGTTTTATAAACCGAAATCGGTCGCAGCAAATAGGCGCAAACTTTTTCAAATAAATTCGAGTTTATAAAAGCATTGATAATAGGTCTGTTCCTGCAGAAGTCACAAACCAGTCAGAGTGAATTTCATTGGTTGAAACTAGCTTCTGACTGTTTCTGACTGTTTTCTGACTGTTTTGTGACTGTTTTCAACCAATGAAATTTGTGATTTCTGCAGAAACAAACCTAATATTATCCGGAATAACAGAAATTAAATCACATAATTTGCTTTGTGATTTTATGTATTTTTTTTCCTATATAATATATTTTTTTTCTATAGTCTACTCTAGAGTGGGCAACTTTTTCTTTCAGAGTGGGCATTGCCCACTCTGGCCCCCCTCTAGCTACGGGCCTGATGAGAAGCGAGGGGGTGAAGTATATGGAAAAAATAGGTGTGACGTCAGGTGACCATTGGCATTTTAATGTAGGGTTCCACTAGCTAACATTCTTTTCGAGTATCAGATTAAAATCGACGGACTTTACACGGGGCGAGTTCTCAAATCTGACACTGTTCTGACATCGTTGACATGTAACAACCCGTATTCTAACCTCATAAAAATTTCAAAATGCCGGCTGTTGGCAAGCTTTGGATTCTCTAATAGGAGCTCCCTTGTACCATCGGACGGTTGGATAACGGATGCATGAGACTCTGGCCTATCAAGTGTATGGTAATGATGATATACATGGTTTCTTTTCTTTTTTTTTTTGATAAAAATATATGAGAAATAGTCTCATATTAAGCATGCTTATGTGAGATGTGAGAAACAGTTAAAATATATGAGTCTCATATTGAAAATCGGAGGTCTGGCAACCCTAACCTCGTAGCACTAATCAATAAGCAATTCACATAAAATGGAAGCCAACAATTAGATAAAAAAACTTATATTTATATTTCAAGATTTATCAGGTAAAAACTTAATAAAGATATGATAATTTGAATATTGAAAAAACTATAAGGGAGGATCCAGAAATTCAAAGCACAAAATTAAATAAAAATAAAGAGGACTTGCCTGGCCAAAGTGTTTTTCAATAAGAGGTCGTTTTAGAAACCACAGCCAGCAGGAAACCAGTTTCAACCAATCAGACGAGTACACCCAAAGACCATATTCACTTCAAAATGAAAACACAATGAAAGACCGCATGGAATAAAACAGAATGGATAAAAATCCACTAAAATTATTTCAATTGTTTACAAATTATAATAATTTAAATTAAGGTTATGTCAAAAATAAAAAACTGTTAATTAATTAGGTCATTAAGCCAAAAAATGATTATTTCAGAATCAGAGGTTAGAAAAGGACAGAAATATATCCATTTGCTAAAAGTGAGATAAATATAATTTCTTTCAATGAAAATACAAATTAATGTCAAATGCGAATTAATCAAAAATCATAGTTTGAAATATAGATCATCGGGCACTAGATGGCAGTACTAAAAAATAAATTCTCGATACTTGCATTTTACGCAAATGTGGATAGATGGCAGCACTTGTATTATTTGAATTTGAATTTGAATTTTGTGGATATTTTTAGAATATTAGAAATTATTTTGAATTCTGAAATGGAAAAAATACAACTTTATAATGAAAATAAGAAGATATGGAACATGTTACGTAAATGATAAATTTATCGTAACACGCTGTCCGTTGCTTTGCGGAGCACAAAGGGATACATGTGCTGTGCTACCGGCCGTAGGCCGCATAGGCTGAACCTC